TGGGGGGGTCCCCGTGCAGGCTATCCCTCCTCTTTGGGGGGGTCCCCGTGCAGGCTATCCCTCCTCTTTGGGGGGGGTCCCCGTGCAGGCTATCCCTCCTCTTTGGGGGGGGTCCCCGTGCAGGCTATTCCTCCTCTTTGGGGGGGGGTCCCCGTGCAGGCTATCCCTCCTCTTTGGGGGGGGGTCCCCGTGCAGGCAATTCCTCCTCTTTGGGGGGGGGGGGGGTCCCCGTGCAGGCTATCCTCCTCTTTGGGGGGGGGGGGGTCCCCGTGCAGGCAATTCCTCCTCTTTGGGGGGGGGGGGGTCCCCGTGCAGGCAATTCCTCCTCTTTGGGGGGGGGGGGTCCCCGTGCAGGCTATCCCTCCTCTTGGGGGGGGGGGGGTCCCCGTGCAGGCTATCCCTCCTCTTTGGGGGGGGGGGTCCCCGTGCAGGCTATCCCTCCTCTTTGGGGGGGGGGTCCCCGTGCAGGCTATCCCTCCTCTTTGGGGGGGGGGGTCCCCGTGCAGGCTATCCCTCCTCTTTGGGGGGGGGTCCCCGTGCAGGCTATCCCTCCTCTTTGGGGGGGGGGGGGTCCCCGTGCAGGCTATCCCTCCTCTTTGGGGGGGGGGGGTCCCCGTGCAGGCTATCCCTCCTCTTTGGGGTCCCAGTGCTACTGTAGACCATCCCTCCCATGTGCCTGTCATGCTACAGACTATCCCTCCTCTTTTGGGTCACTGTACTACTGTCCCTCTCATGCAGGGCTGTGGATAAAGGGGTACCGCCAGTCCTCCTGTGGGGGGCCCAGGCAGCTGGATGAATCGGATGTGGCCAGGGAGGATGGCACAACGTAGGGGTTGCATTTCTTATTATTTTTATACAGGACTTCTATAGTGCCAACAGTTTGCGCAGCACTTTACAATATAAAGGGAGACAGTGTGGCTACAATACAATAAAATACAAGAGGGCCCTTGCTCATAAGAGTTTACATTCTAATAGGGTGGGGCAAGTGGTACAAAAGGTTATAACTGTGGGGGGTGAGCTGATGGAAGTGAGAAATGTCAATTCAGAGGCATGATAGCCTTCCATGAAGAGATGAGTTTTCAGGGATTGTTTAAAAGCAGCCAGAGTAGGGGATAGCCAGGGAGATTGAGGTAGAGAGCTCCACAGGATGGGAGAAGCTCTGGCACGTACTGGAGTCGATCCCCTGTATGGCTCTCTTTGCAGCGGCTAAAAGCTGGCTTCTTCGCCTCTCCCTTCTACTGGCTTTCAGCTGCTGCAGAGAGAGCTGTAAAGGGGATCAGTTCCAGTAAATTGCCCCCCCAGTTCCAATAATCGCCGCACCTATCATCCTCCCTGTGCACCATACTTTTCGCCCTGTTGCCCAGGCCTCTCTGTATGCCCCCATCCCCACAGGGCTTCCAGCTTTTCTCCATTTCTTTCCATCAGTAGCTGCAAGCACACAATAGGATCCTTCAGGATGGAGAGTGGGAGAAGGATCCTGTAAATATGTCACATTTACCAGCCCTTCCATTCCTGAATGAACACAATGAGTGATTGGTACTGAACACTCACTGTGTTCATTCATAACTAAAGCATAGTAAAGGGGAGGGGGTGCTTTCAGTTTGGCTGTAAGGGGCCCCATAGTTTCTAACAGCTGCCTTGCTCCCATATCCCTGTCATGATGCAGCCTGTCCCTCTGTCGGTCAGTGTGCCCCAGTAGGTAGGTACCTTCGAGGTTATACGCCTTGCAGCCCTCGTCCTTGAACCTCTTTATGAGCAATCCTAGCACGGACTCCCCGCCGGTGTTCTTGTTCCAATTGGCGCTGCCCTCGTAGAGGATGAGGGTGTCGGAGCAGCACCTCCGGATGAATGTGTCCCAGTCCTCGCCCTGGGTGAAGAGCGATCTGATGGGCAGAATGCCCTTCTTGAGATGGCGCAGCATGATGCCGGGGGTGGTCATGTTGATGGCGGCTTTGATGTAGGACGACTTGTACAGCTGTGGGGGTCTGCAGTCCATGAGCAGGAGATGCTCGTTGGCCAGCTGGAGCTGCTCGTTGAGCCAGGCCACTGATTTTCTGAGTACCATGTGTGCATACACGGGTCTAAGCTTGTCTGTCATTGAGGATGGGGCTTGGAGCGGGCCAGGAGCAGCGAATCAGGAGAGTGGGTGACCTACCTTCCTTCCTCAATGGAACCGCCTGGTGTAGATCTCGATGAATGGCATCTCCCCTTGCTCGGAACATACATTTGGGTGGCCTTGGCTCTGGCAGCTCCAGAACTGCGCATGCACAGTTCAGCTCCGAGCCATCACAGCCATTTTTCACTGGTACATTTTACCTATTACGGGCATTTACAGGCAGTAGAATAGTGCCCGTTTTTTACCGGCTGGCCGTAAAAATACGACAGTTGGCAACACTGTCCCATGCGTGTTGCACTACATTATTTTTCGGTGCCCGGGGGGCCAAGGTGCCAGCATTTGGACCTGCCGCTAGAACCCTGTTGAAATTTATGACTGGCTGAGATATGCAGCGGCAGGTCACTGCACAAAGTTCTACTTGTGCTCGGGGTCATATGCGTTCAGGGACGCATGCTTGGTACGCAGGAATTCAGGGCATTCATCACCGCATGCGTACAGCCTAAGGCTTCGTTTATACCCAGCGATTTAGGGTCGGTGCAAATTGTAACAGTAGGAATCAAAGAACTCTGCTGCGGCTCGGTGGAGACGTGATCAGAAAAACAAATTATGTACGCATAGGTATCTTTACGCATTCATACCCAAGTATTTTACTGATCATTACGCAGGAACTGTTCTAGAAAATACATCCGTACATTTTTTGCGGCCATGTGAACGAAGCCTAAGCCCGTGATGATAGGCCACTGCGAATTGTAGCGGTATGAATGGGACATTCTTGCTGCGGCCCAGTTCACTGTAATGGCAGGTTTCCAATGGCTGCAGGTATTCACGGCTCTCTGCACAGCCAGCCATTACCTGTGGTGATTGCTGCTGGATGCACACAAAGTACATGCAGCAGCAAAACTCGCAGGCAATGGCGTTCCTAGGCAGGTGCGGGGGGTGCACGCCACACCAGGTGACACCTATCGCACGGGGTGACACTGGACCCGCTCTACGAAAAGGTAAGTTTTAAAGCAAGCTGATGATCCCCGCAGGATGGACCGGATCTGCAGATTGAGCATAATGGATCGGAGTCCGATCCATTATGCTCCCCAATCCGCAGATCCGAAATGTATTGTAATTGTTCTGTCTCCCTTTATATTGTAAAGTGCTGCGCAAACTATCGGTGCTATATAAATCCTGTATAATAATTCTTGTTTTTATGATCATGTGCTTCTCCTCCTCTTTAGACTTAATTTACTTACAAACGTAAACGTATAAAGCGCATGTTCTTAGATGCAGACTTGGATTCTGTGTTAAGCAGGTCATGTGTACGCATGGCTCTGTTGAAAGCAATGCAGCTGCATTCAGATCCGTAATTAGAAATGACTTGTATATGCATTTTTTTTTTTACGGCCGTGTGAATGAAGCTTTAAAGCAGTTGTAAAGGCTCAAGGTTTTTACCTTCATGCATTCTGTACATGAAGGTAAAAAATACCTGTGTGCAGCAGTGCCCCCAGCCCCTCAGTACTTACCTGAGCCTCATCGGGATCCAGCGATGTCCATGACAGCCTTGGCTATCCCGGGTCTCTGCCTCCTCATTGGCTGAGACAGCAAGTGGGAGCCATTGGCTCCCACTTGCTGTCAATTACAGCCAGTTAGCCAATGAGAAGAGAATGGGGAGGAGCCAAAACACGGCTCTGTGTGTGAATGGACACGGAGCAGCGGGTGCCCTCATAGCATAGCTTGCTGTGGGGGCACCCACTGCTCTGTGTGTCCATTCACACACACAGTCGTGGCTTGGCCCCTCCCCCACTCTCTCCTCATTGGCTAACTTACAGAAAGGAGGAGCCAGGAGAGCCTGCAGGGGACCCGAGAAGAGGAGGTTCCGGGCTGCTCTGTGCAAAACCACTGCACACAGCAGGTATAACATATGTTATTTAAAAAAAAAAAATTAACCTTTTAGTATGGCTTTAATCAAGAGTGGGTAAAGGTGCAGGGTCCAGCCATGTACTTTATCCTATCATAGAGTCTGGCTGGATGCTGCACCTGTACCTCCCAGGCGCCTGAAAATGTCAAGATTTTGACACACATGGGCAAAACGGCATGTAGTCTTAGAGGCTAAGTTCAACTTTTAAGAAAAAAAAATGCATTTTTTGTTTATTTTACAGGAGCCTGCACATCATTGCAACCACGATCAGTAGATTGGGATTACAATGTCAGGCTTCTACAGACACTGCAAGCATTCATAGGTCTCTACAGAGCCCTGCAACAGTTGAGCTGACTTTACCTTTGACAGAGATGGAACCCCTACCTGCTGTTATGGGGTGGGGGAGATGCTTAGGAACATGTAAATATCGGTGTAACAGCTTCCTAAAAGTGAACTTTAGCTTTTAAAGCCCAACTTCGGGAAAACGAAAAGTCCTCCCTTGCAGTAGGACTGCGTCTGGGAGTGGAATGTCCCTCACGTTCCAATGTAGGGCTATGGGCCCTGCACTGGTCTTGACCTTAGACCGCCGGAGTACAGGGAAGAAGAGACTGCAGGGATTGGTCTAGCAGTGCGTAGGAGCGTCTGATCAGGTAAGTAAAACTCCATTACCAGTTCCCGAGATAGAAACAAGCAGTTAATCTTTGCAGTTCAAGTACAGCCCCACTGCAAGGGAGGACTTTTAGGGCTGGTTCACACCAGCCTCTGGGCAGAGGCTAGGCCAGAAAATGTGCACGTCATGTGCAATTACCACCTATACCATTTATTCCTTTGGGCCTGACAAAGCGTATTATCGCAACAACTTTGACACCAGTACTAAGTTTGCAGTCAGGATTTCATACCATTCTCATGCTCCTGTAACCTCTGTTCCTATTTGGTCCTTGCTCCTGTAACCTCTGATTTATTTTTGCAGACAACAAGATGGGTTCCCTTTTCAGAGGGGAGGAGATGTGTTTGGCTCAGCTGTTTCTGCAGTCGGGCTGTGAATATCAGTGTGTCAGTGAGCTGGGAGAACATGGACTGGTGGAATTCAGAGATGTAAGTACATTTGTGATGTGTTTCTAAAGAAAATAGGTGTCATTGATCGGGGGTTATTTTAGCGTGTACTTGAGGGTTTACAGCATCAAAACCACAATCTTCCCGTCAACTGATTAATTTGGCCAAAAACATGCTGTTGATGGGGGGAGGGTGGCCACGCGCCGTTGATGGGGGGAGGGTGGCCACGCGCCGTTGATGGGGGGAGGGTGGCCACGCGCCGTTGATGGGGGGAGGGTGGCCACGCGCCGTTGATGGGGGGAGGGTGGCCACGCGCCGTTGATGGGGGGAGGGTGGCCACGCGCCGTTGATGGGGGAGGGTGGCCACGCGCCGTTGATGGGGGAGGGTGGCCACGCGCCGTTGATGGGGGAGGGTGGCCACGCGCCGTTGATGGGGGAGGGTGGCCACGCGCCGTTGAGTGGGGGAGAGGCCACGCGCCGTTGAGTGGGAGGTGGGTGGCCACGCGCCGTTGACTCGTTGCCTTGATAGTATGATGTTTGGGAACAACAAGGCAATTGGACAGTGTGTCTGAACAGAAGACAAACAAGTGTGGTTATTTACCAACTATGCCAAGAAGCTTGGTGCAACTGACAGTTACAGTAAGTGTTAGGCCTTGTTCACTTGGGGCATATCAATGCGTACTCCATGTGAGGGCCATGATTATCCATACAGAGGTGCAAAGGTGTTCTGTGCAAGCAGCTCCATTGATGTCTGTTGAGACACAGGCTGCAGAGATATTACTCCAATTGCAGACAGTGTGAGTTTGGGGACATGCACTCTAATGGATGACACTTCTGTCCCCTGATGACAACAACGCTCATTTACCATACTGTACCTATAAAGGAGTAGCCTTGCCACCTTGGGACAGGAAGTATTAGGACTACAGAACACCTCCCCCCTCTTCTCTATAACATAGGGTAAGGTGTTTGGATGGACCACAGAGATGGCTGCTGAGGTTTAGGCAGAGGAGACACCATCCTTGGGTGCTTCAGTAGGTGGCACAAAAAGGCAGCCTTTCTGCTGCTGAAGTAGTTCATAGCTCATTAGTTAGAGGTGCACTTTTTGCCTTGGTAGTAAAGAATCTTGTTCCATCACTGGATAGCTGGGGTCAATGTAACTGAAAAGCATGCGGCATAGTGCAAAGTTATCAGCCCACAAGATTTCTGGCAGGATCAACTGGTATTTTTCACATTTATTGAACATCTAGTATATACAAAACAGACAGAACACTTTCAGTGGTATAATTTTGCTGAGTTGATTTTAGGCTTTACATGCATTTTGAAAGTCCTAAAGATTGTCTTATAAGTTCACTCAAAGAAAGATGGATTCTTCTGTCCAGTTCCTAATTATACTGTTTTTTTTTTTTTCTTGTTTATTTTGTTTTTTTTTTTAAATTCTGCAGCTCAACCAAAATGTTAACGCCTTTCAGCGTCGTTATGTCTCTGAGATTCGGCGTTGCGATGACATGGAGACAACCTTTGGTGAGTGTGGGGCCATTTCCTTCAGAACTGGGTTTCCTAAACTCTTTATGCCGAGCATCTAAATAGGAAAATTGTTAGCGTAACAAGGCTCCAGGGGAGAAATTTCTACCATAAGCAAGCCAAGATGTCTTCGCCCCTTTTACTAAAATACAGTAAACTGTGTGCAGCAGTTGCTGATTTGTGGGTTTGCCATTAGGATTTAATGGCATCCCCGTGCTTCTGCTAAAATTCATTGTGTTTCTCTGCAGGTCAGGAATGTATGAGAATTTGCACGTATTTCCACCCAGAGAGATGTGAACCTATCCTAAAAGTGTATATGAGCAGGTGTGAGATTGATTGATGTAGTGATGTAGAAAAGAGTTCAGTGTAGCCAGCAAGGCCCCCCCATCCCTGGAGAGTCGAGTGCTGCAGGAAGCCGCAAGTGTGTGTGTGTAGGCCTGAGTGACAAGCTCTTTGCCCAGACTACTTGTCTTGGTGAACAGTGAAAGGGTCACTCAAATTGAGATAATGTTTGAACAGATAATGGAGCTTTTACAGCCCCGAAGTGGACAACCAGGAAGAAGAAAACCTTGTGTTATGTCCTACGTGATGGTTAGAGACATTGCATGGGAATCCGTCTGTGCAAGAACTTCCCTTTTAATAAAAGGGGGCAATAAAGCCCTTAAAACACAAGTTTATACAGTACCGCTGGTGCTCGTCGGTTAGTCAGGAGCTCCACCATGAAACGCGTAGAGCACAATCTCAGCCTATGTAAGCTCTGATTAGGATAGACTTGTAGCATGCACGTGGCTTCTTTTCTTTTCTCCTGGCAATAAAGAGAGTGAAGGGAAGATTGGAATAAGCTGCTTCAGGGCTGGTTAAAAGTATTTTGTCCCCCATTCACATAACAGCTGGAGCTGGAACATGAGTTTTGACTTGGATGGTGCTTGGAGGAGTCACAAAAATGCAGGCATTACCTAAATATATTAGTTTTGTGGTTTTATTTTTTTCAGGGTACCTGGAACAGGAACTGCGCAAGGCTGGAATACAGCCAAAGGTTCTTTCAGGGTCTCCGCTGGCTCCTTCACCCAAAGATGCTCTGAATATTCAAGAAGAATCCGAGCAATTGGCAAAAGAGCTGAGGGAGGTGTCTGGGAACAGGTTCACACTACGTGAACGCCTACGAGAGCTGCGAGAGTACGCCAATATACTGCGAGAGAGTCAGAGATTCACAGGACCATTGGTGAGTTATGACATTCGGTGAAATAGTCAAGATTTAAACCCTAAAAATGTAGGATGTTACCAAACTGCTTAGGATTTGGCCAAATGGGATTAAAGTTGTTGCAGGTCATGGCCAGGTACAAAATGGAGCTTGATCATTGGTCACCAGGCCAACAGAGGACTATCCAATGCCCTGTGTTATCTGATTGTTGAATGTCCAGGATTTTGTGCATCCTATTGGATTCTGCACACCCGCTACCGTGCCCTGGTGAACTGGTAAAAAAAAATCACCTGTTTGTCCCAGAAAGTACACACACCAGTTGGGTTCAAATTTGGGATACAAAAGCTCCCACGTTTTCCAGCTCCAGTCTGAAGATAATATATTCCTATAGTGATTAATTTTAGTTATGATTCCTGGAGATTCCCATAGGCCGGCTTCCACAACATATCTGAATTATGTTACTAAAATGTTAAAAAAAAAAAAAAAAAAAAAAAAAAAAAAGCCACTGAGAAGTTCCTGTACATATGTTCAGCAGCATCCACATTCCCAAAGCTGCCCTAAATGCTTGGCCATTTTAAAGGGCAATGCCTTGGTATCTCTAGTAGTGTCAGAGCTTGCTTGCCCATTCCTGCCTCCTTTTTTGCCAGTGAGATAGCCCCTCATAGTGAAGGGCCAATGTGTAGATGTGGGAGGAAGCATGCAAGTTTTGACCCTTCCAGGAGTACTGGAGCTATGTGCATCAGAACAGTCCAGGATTCAGATGTTATGGCAGGGAGTTGAAGGCTGCTGCATGTATGCACATTTACCTTTAGGCACCTGCATTTATTTTTTCATCGAGTTTGCCTAATCATTTCATAGGAAGCTTTTTGTTTACAATTAAACAAAAGGAATGATTGCCACTACCGATAAAATCAACAGCTGTAAAGCTGGCCTTAAACTGGTAAAAATTTGGTCGGTTCAGCAAAAAAAACGCTGAATTTCGATCAGTGTGTGGTCATCCTCACTTGACAGAAGCCAATTGTTTGATTGACTGATGTTAATGTTGAAGGGACATGTTGGAAAATTTTCCATAGATGTTGTCAGAATAAAATGTTCTGGCCGGGGGAAAAGGAGAGGATTCCTCCAACCACCTAATTTTTCTGGCTGGAGATACCAGGTGTGGCCAGCTTAAGCCTCTGTTTTTCTATAGAGTTACTTAACTTGCACCTACAAACACTGTATAACAAGATTGTGATGCAAATTACATAGACGATTTTGTGAATTCATTTTTCTAGCCAGAGTCTGAAACCTTTAGTGAGAGAGCTGACACTGATCCATTGATTGACCCTACAGTAAGCTCCAGGCAGGACCTCCGAGTCAGGTGAGTTGCTGCACACAATTGATAAACACTTTGATTTTTATCTTTAAAGCTCATGTCAAGACAAAATTGAAAAAAAAAAAAACAGAAAAAATAATACATCGCTGAAATACATGCAGATTTCCACATTTTAGAATTTCAAGTATCAAATTTTTTTTATACCTTGGACCAGTGTAACTATATTGGGCTGTCTCTTTGCTGGATTGTGCCTTCTCTGCTGGATTGGGCTGTATCGTTGCTAAATATATGGGGATGTTTCTGCTGGATTCGGCCGTGTCTTTTCTGCATATATGGAGATGTCTCTATACTGGATTGGGCCGTCTCTTTGCTGAATTGGGCCCTCTTTGCTGAATATATGGGGCTGGCTCTTTGCTGGATTAGTCTGTCCCTTTACTAAATATATGTGGATGTCTGTGCTGGATTGGCCCGTGTCTGTGCTGGATTGGCCCGTGTCTGTGCTGGATTGGCCCGTGTCTGTGCTGGATTGGCCCGTGTCTGTGCTGGATTGGCCCGTGTCTGTGCTGGATTGGCCCGTGTCTGTGCTGGATTGGCCCGTGTCTGTGCTGGATTGGCCCGTGTCTGTGCTGGATTGGCCCGTGTCTGTGCTGGATTGGCCCGTGTCTGTGCTGACTATATGGGGCCCGTGTCTGTGCTGACTATATGGGGCCCGTGTCTGTGCTGACTATATGGGGCCCGTGTCTGTGCTGACTATATGGGGCCCGTGTCTGTGCTGACTATATGGGGCCCGTGTCTGTGCTGACTATATGGGGCCCGTGTCTGTGCTGACTATATGGGGCCCGTGTCTGTGCTGACTATATGGGGCCCGTGTCTGTGCTGACTATATGGGGCCCGTGTCTGTGCTGACTATATGGGGCCCGTGTCTGTGCTGACTATATGGGGCTGCTTCTTTGCTGACTATATGGGGCCGTCTCTGTGCTGACTATATGGGGCTGCTTCTTTGCTGAATAAATGAGGCTGTCTCTATGCTGCTTTTTGGCCAGATTATAATTCCTTACAGTTAAATCTTAAAAGCACTGATGACTTGAAATACATTTTTAATTTTCATATATTAAGTTGTAATAGTGTTAAAACAAAAGTGAGTGTACTGAGGAAAGGTGGGACGACCAGTGGGCAGATTTGGTGGGACGGCCAGTGGGCAAACCCTGGGCAATGTTGGTGGTCAGACCTGTGGAGTGCCCAGGCCTAAAGCTGTGTAATGGGCCCTAACATTTCTGATGGCTGCCTGAGACACCATCGAACCCGGAAACTAGCCTGCCCAGCAGTGCCCTGCAGGGCACTGGGGCAGGCTGGATAGAAGAGATCCTGATGTGCTAGCCTGCTCAATGTCTACTGCTCTGTCCTGCTCCTGCTGTCACTCTGCAGAAGCATGATAGAGCACAGTGACAGGCTAGACGGGGAGAGCAGTGCCAGTTGGCGGGACAGTAAGACATGGTGAAACCATGTTTTACAGCACCAGGTGACACCAACCCTAGTGATGCCACTGTCTCCCTCCCAACCCCTGCAAAGTGACAGCAACAAAATGAGAACCGAATGGAGAAGTTCCTCTAGCAGTCTGTCTCAATAGTAAGGGCAGGTTCTGCAAGATATATGTATATGTTTGTGTGATTTAAAAAAAATAAAAATAAAAAAAAAATATATATATATATATATATATATATATATATATATATATATATATTTTAATTTTTTTAAATTATCCCAAAAAATGTATTCCATTTTTAAAAATTATTTGCATAAAAATGAATCCTGTAACAAAATGTGTATATTGTACAGCGGGGGTCAGCAACCTGAGGATCACAATCTACCTGTCACAACTGCGGGTGGGTGACGGGTAGATCACGAGCAGGTCCCCATGTTACTGACCCTGTTTTCCCTCACAGCTGCAGAGCGGGCAAGCTTACTCTCAACCACTACATAGCTAGAGTTCCATCCTGCGGAGCTCCCACCGGCTTCTTCCGCCAGCACTGTGACATCATTTCTGGCTCACAGCTTTGTCTTTTCTGGCCTTCGGGTGACCCCTTTCCCGGGACTCCCATTGGCTGCTGGAACTGCTTACAGCGGCATCTCCTCCGGGGGACACCTGCCGTATTATCACTGGTATCTCTGGAACCAGGTACTGTTTCGTTCCACCAGTACCAGAACATGCAGCTCTGCCATGGCAGTTTCCCTGCTCTGCATAGGGAAATTACTTTTGTGCCCTCCTGATCTCCCTGCACCGTGCCCTCCTGACCCCCCCCCCCAGTACCATAAGCTCCTGACCTCCTGTGACAGCATGAGGAAAGTACTGCCGATAACCAGCAAGTGTATTTGTATAGTGGTCAGCTGGGATTTGGCACAGCTCATCTCATGGCAAAAGGCCACTGTGATTGGCCTTTTACCATATCATGTGATCAACTGTGTCCAAAGGACACCGCGATCACAGACCGTGCCGGGTGCATGCTGCGCGTTCTGGGAGGACATCTCTTGATGCCCTACGGTAATACTCAGAGATCACTGGGTGCTGGCGGCTGGGAATCACCAGCCGTGACCTGGTGATTGACAGCCGAGGCCACGAATGGCGGCGTGGGTAGGGCACGCACCCCCTACCTGGATCTGCAATATCATTCATATATATATATATATATATATATATATATATATATATGTATGTATATATGTGATTTTACGCACCCGTGCCACCCTGTAGCAGTATTTCTGTTATAGGGCGGTGCAGAAGTGGTTAATGCTGAGCATTTTTTCAGACTTTTGAGCGTGTGGGGGGGGGTTTTTTTTTTTTTTTTTTAACAGATTTGCAAATATTATAGGCGTTTTCTTTTCATGTAGGTGTTTTTGCTATGGTCGGTACAACCTTGTGTAGATGTGTCCTAGGCCCCAGACTTCAAGCATGTCGCTTCTGTACACACAAGTTCTGCACCTTTCCCCTGGATCTGGGGAGCAGTGTAGCTGTTGCACTGGGGCAGCAAGTTTCGTCCCACATCCTCCCAGACTCTGGTGGTCCTTGCCCGGCTCTTATAATGGGGATTCCTGGGATCATACAGTGAGAGGATCCCCAGATCAGCTGGGAGAGTTCCTGAGCGCGTTCTCGTGGAACACTTTCAGCTATGTGTGTCAGGTTTAGAAGGGCAGCTGGACTTCGTAGCGTGCTGTCATCACATCATTTGTAGTCCAGCCGTCCTTTCTCAGCTATTCCGTACTTCAGATACAGACTTCAACTCAGAAGTAGAGTCTGCAGAAGCCTCAGCATTGCACTCATGGTACTCTAACTGTGGTTGCAAGGCTTTCTAGGTGGGGCAGCACAGTGGCTAAATGGTTAGCACTTCCGCCTGGCAGCACTAGGGTCGCTGGTTCGAATCCCAACAACGGCACCACCTGCTTGGAGTTTGCATGTTCTCCCTGTGCCTGTGTGGGTTTCCTCCGGGTACTCCGGTTTCTTCCCACACTCCAAAGACATGCTGGTAGGTAAATTGGCCCTAGTATGTGTATGTATGAATGTGAGTTAGGGACTTTAGATTGTACACCCCTTGAGGGTTAGGGACTGATGTGAATGTAAAATATATATGTAAAGCGTTGCATAAATTGTCGGCGCTATATAAGTACCTGAAATAAATAAATTTATTTTTTTTTTGTACATCAATAGTGCATTTATGAAATGTAAGAAAAAAAAAAAAAAAAAAGTGAACCTATCCTTTTAAGAACAATTTTAAATGAATGGTTCAAAACTCCGCCTTAGATGCACATTATAAAAAATAAATAAAATTATATAGATAGATAATTGAAACTGGTACATCCAGGACTGTCATTCTGAACCTGGCTTGACTATGAAGTCAACAGTCGTGTGCAGCCAGTGGAATGTTCTAACACCTGTCATGGGACTTTTATGGGGGCTTCCGTTTCTGACCTTTGACCATGTTTTTTGCCTGGTTATCATAGTGATGTTTGGATTCACCTCTTACGGAGTTGCTGACCTGCAGCAAGCCTAGAGATAGGGACTCTTGATACTTTTCTGACACTCATTTACAGCAGGTCTGGGTTTGTGACTATAAAGGACAGAAGCCAGGTACAGACAGGCAACAAGCATTTTCAGAATGAGGCCAGCATTGGCAGCTCCCATGCTTCACCGATGATAGGTGGACTTTAATTGTAAGCTCTGAGTTTCAAATTCCCATACATCCCTTATGTTTCTTTTCCCTCATACTTGTATTCCTGGGTTCTCCTCAAAACATATACTCACCGGCCAGCAAATCCAGCGATCTGCTCAGGTGTCATACAGCAGGTCCATCTTGGTCCTCTTCAGCCAGGTGCCTCTCTGGTTGCAGGCAGCCAGCTCCAATGATGGACTGGGACTTGGCTGTAGCCGCTGATCAACGAATGTTTTGCAGCTCGTTTGTTGGACAAAAGTCGATGGTTAAATGGGGAGGGCCACACATATATTGAAACTTGGCGAGTCCTTGCTGAATTGGCCAAATTTTGATGCGCCGATGGCCAGCTTTATCCCTCTTCCCAGCCTCATGCCCCTCCCACCATCCAGAAAGGGAACAAAGCGCAAGCAAGGCATCAGTGGGTTTTTTTTTCCCTTTAAGGGACTGATTGCTGTATATATAAAAAATGATTTAAATAGGAGAAGGTCAAAATAATTGACAGTTGTGAATTTAGTATTGTAAGTTTTTTTTTTTTTTTTTTTTTTTTGAGAAGTAAAACTACCACCCAGTTTACAGCTCCTTGATTGAAACCTACAGAACTTGGGGTGTTGGTCAGTATTGGAACATGTTACTTCCTCTGACTTCTTGGAAAACTAACTATTGTACTTCTTGTTTCCCCTAGAAATGGAGAAGTATCTAGTGAGAATTTTTTTTTTTCCAGTCACATTTTAAAGTTGACCAATGAGCAAATTAATGTTGCACAGTTTTGTAATTATGTTTGTAAAACGTTTTTAAAAGAAAAAAAAATAGGTTATAGAAATATTAAAATTCCTCAAGTAAAAC